TGTGTTGTTTTCTAATTATTAATTCTTTTTTGTAATAGACGACTTACCTTTTATCCGATTTTTAGCAAATATTTTCCTTGATCGAAGAGGGGAACAAATGTCGTACAGTAGCTGCTACAAACATGAATGCTGAAAGCAGTAGATCTCACGCAGTATTCAGCATTCGTGTCACCCAGACTATTACTGATCTTGATAACGGGGTTAATTTCCAATTTGCTTCATAAGTGCTAGTTTTCCAAACGAACTTATTTCAGAATAAGCACTGTATTTGATGCAGTATGTAAACTGTGTTCAAGAAATTGAGATACCCACTTTAATGCTTTTGTTCTACAGTTTTGAATAGGATTTGGTTTTTTTGATACGGATTGGCAAAAACTTATTTTTAGTATACTGGTGAAAAAGTGAGCAAAATTTCACTGGTAGATTTAGCGGGTAGCGAAAGGGCTGTAAAGAGTGGTGCTGTTGGGAAACGACTTGAGGAAGGGGGAAATATTAACAAGTTGGTTATTTTGTTTATTTTTTCTGTCTAGATGAATTTTTTCAAGAATTTTTTTAAAACAAGTTTTCTTAAATATTTGGAAGTGTTCGGTCAAATTCATTTCTTTAAAAAATTTCTTATTAAGTAAAGTTCAAAATGTGCTACTTTCAGATCTCTAACAACACTGGGGATGGTGATCTCAGCTTTAGCTGAAAATTCACGCTCATCTGGGAAATCAAAATTTGTTCCATATCGAGATTCGGTGTTAACTTGGTAAATTTTTAACTATTGGACGATTGAGACCTGAATTTGAAACAGGTTTGATTATCTAGAAGTCAACTTATTGCCTTTAATTTTCAGGCTTTTAAAGGACAATCTTGGTGGTAACAGTAAAACTGTTATGATAGCTACAATTTCTCCATCTTCTGAAAATTACGAAGAAACGTTGTCAACATTAAGGTAAATTTCCTTCTGGTTTCCTCAGTGGTGACTATATTTTTGATTTTCAAATAATAAGATGATTTTTCAGGTATGCAGATCGAGCGAAACGCATTGTCAATCATGCTGTGGTGAACGAGGATCCGAACGCTAAAATTATTCGCGAACTACGTGAAGAGGTTGAATTGCTGAGAACACAAATTTCTCAAAGCATCAAGGAGCACAACGTAATTTTGCTGTACTTCGAGAATGCGAAGGCATAACTTTTGTGCCAATACTGTATCCGCAGCTCGTAGAATTAGATCTGCTTTCAGGAGGCTGAAGAACTTCGTGAACGTCTTGCAGAGTCGGAACGACTTGTTGAACAAATGAATAAATCGTGGGACGAACGTTTAAGGGAGACCGAAGCAATATACAAGGCCAGTCACAAACTTTTATTTGTACCGATTGAGGGTGTTGCTTGAGGGGAACTATTGTTTCATTAAGGCGAAATCGGATAACGAAAGTTGTCAGCATTTCTGCAGATGTTTTTTATGATTTCTTGTGCTAAACTGTCCTGCTGAGAATAATGTAGTAGACGTTTTAGGAAAGGCAGAAAGACTTGGAAGAGATTGGAATATCAGTAGCTGGTTCAGGAATTAAAGTTCAAAAAGATCGTTTCTATTTGGTTAACCTGAACGCCGATCCCTCACTAAACGAACTTCTCGTTTATTATATAAATGTAAGGAGAGAGTTCTAAGAGGCCATAAGTGCCGCACCAACATAGCCTAAATAAGAGAGTTTTTTTCAGCATCGTGCTGTAGTGGGCAGTTCCGAGCAAAAGGATTCTGAAGAGGCGAAGAAGAATGAAAAGATCGACATTGTTTTACAAGGACTTGGTGTTCACCACAAACATGCCTTCCTTGAAATCGTTCAAGAAGACGGTCAGCAAAGGATGTATGTAGAACCGTTGGATGCGCATGCGAGGTAAATTACGGTTTCTCTTACAGTTCTCCAAGTTCATTCACAGGATCTGAATCTAATATTCTTTGGTTCTTACTTTTTGATAGGATCTGTGTTAATGGGCGTTTAATATCGCAAAGGACGCTTTTGCGAAATGGATATCGGCTCCTCATCGGTAACAATCACTTTTTCCGAGTTAACTGTCCGAAAGAAGCAGTGGATATGAGTGCATCACTGCTTGAGGAATCTACTGCAATGCTTTTTGATTACGATGACGCTTGGCGTGAGGTATCTTAGGAGCACAAATTAGTGCATCTGTAGTTATAAACTTCTTTGTAATTTATTTATAGCTTTCTCTAGGTTAACTGTGATTCTGACGAAAATGCGAATCCTATAACAATGGCTGTTGATCAATATATGGAACAAATTGCCAAAAAGCATGAGGTAAAATCACTTAACTTGATTTTTCAACCATCTGTTTTGTAACCTCACTTTCTTAGGAAGATAAGCAAGCAGCCTTGGAACAGCAGTATGAAGCATTCGAGAAATATATTCAGGGACTTGCGCAAGGGTAGG